GGAAGGGAAGGGAAGGGAAGGGAAGGGAAGGGAAGGGAACCCTGTTCCCTGCGGTTGGGCTGGCCAGGCTGAGAGCAAGGTGAACTTCCAAGCTTTTGGAAGGAGGGTCAAGTTGGGGATCCCTATAGACATATGGAGACAGAAATGTGGGGGTCTAGTGTTCCTAGAATAGAGTGTTGGCCACAGAGACAGAGGTGAACAAGATATTGGTGAATGAGTTCTCTTGGGCTCTGCCGAGAATTAGGGGCCAAAGAACATGTTAATATGGGAAGACTGTGTCTCCAGGCAGTGGGAGGGAGACCTGGGAGGAAAACTGCATGTATGGACTCAGAGTACAAAACGTAAGAAGTCTGCTTTGGGGAGACGTGGTAGTAGTTGTTATGTTTTAGAGTTTCAGGCTAAGGACGATGGGATTGCAAGTACTTCATGCAGCGGCAGTAGAGGGTTAGATGCAAATGGAAGAACCTGGGGCATGCAATGCTTTGGGAGCTGAAAACAGGTTATTTCTGTATGTCACCATCCTATGATAGAAAGGGAAAATAGAAGGATTGTGGGGAGGAAGGCAGGCCACTATGAGGAGAGTTGTAATAGGGAGGAGCTGGTAGATCTGCTTGTAAGAACTAGTGGAGTATCAGAGTGTGAGATCCAGGACAGGGCCTGGGGAGCAACCTTAGGAAAAGTGAGGGAACGGATATCAGGAGGTGGGCAGAGAGAACTTCCAGGAGGGACTGGAAGAATGTGTGCTGAGTTAATCAGGAAATTCGACCAAAGTCTACAGACTACCAAGAGATGGAGAAGATGTTATCTGAAAGAAAAGTGGGTTGGTAGGGGGCTTGGGAACATGGAGACCCTGTCTTTGTCTGGGAATGAAGTTTGTGGCTTGTAGTCAGTTTGTAGAAGTCAGAATTCTGGCAGAGGACTTTTCTTTTTGTAAACATGCTTTTCTTGGCTTTCAAAGGAGTGTCTGTGATGTGCCCACATTTGTTCTGGTTTTTTAAGATAAAGCAGAGAGCATCAAGAGAGTCCTTGAAAAAGTTTGTGGAAAAAGGAATTTTAAGGTATTTTCATTTGTGTGTGTGTATGTGTGTGTGTGTGTGTGTGGAGAGAGAGAGAGAGAGAGAGAGAGAACTTGTAAGAACTAGTGTCTACTTGTAAGAACTAGTGGAGCGGGCCGGCGCCGCGGCTCACTAGGCTAATCCTCCGCCTTGCGGCTCTAGCACACCGGGTTCTAGTCCTGGTCGGGGCGCTGGATTCGGTCCCGGTTGCCCCTCTTCCAGGCCATCTCTCTGCTGTGGCCAGGGAGTGCAGTGGAGGATGGCCCAAGTACTTGGGCCCTGCACCCCATGGGAGACCAGGAGAAGTACCTGGCTCCTGCCATCGGATCAGTGCAGTGTGCCGGCCACAGTGCGCAGGCCACAGGGGCCATTGGAGGGTGAACCAACGGCAAAGGAAGACCTTTCTCTCTGTCTCTCTCTCTCACTGTCCATTCTGCCTGTCAAAAAAAAAAAAGAACTAATGGAGCATCAGAGTGTGAGATTCGGGACAGGGCCTGGGGAGCAACCTTAATTAAAGTGAGGGAAAAGATATCAGGAGGCAGGCAGAGGGTCCTTTCAGGAGGGACTGGGGAATGGGTGCTGAGTTAATCAGGAAATTCGACCAAAGTCTCCAGACTACCATGAGATGGGGAAGATGTTATCTGAAAGAAAAGTGGGTTGATAGGGGGCTTAGGAACCTGGAGAACCTGATTTAGCCTGGGAATGATGTTTGTGGCTGAAGTCAGCTTGTTGAAGTTAGAATTAGAGCAGAGGAATTTCTCTTGGTAAATGTGTTTTTCTTGGCTTTCAAAGCAGTGTCTGTTATGTGCCCACATTTGTTCTGGTTTTTTAAAGTAATGCAGAGAGCATCATGTGGGTCCTTTAAAAATCTTGTAGAAAGAGAGATTTGTAAGTTTGTTTCTTTGTGTGTGTATATTATTATTATTATCATCCATTCAACTGCTGTTTGAAGTCTTTGACGATTTTTTGTTGTGGCTTCCATGAACCATACTACAATAAATATTGTGGGCATATCTCTCTGATACAATATGTTTATGTATTCTGGGTTATAGCCAGTAGAGGGCTTGCTCAATCATATGGAAAGTCTGTTTCTGGTTTTTTAAGAAATCTCCATACTGTTTTCCACAGCGACTGCACTAATTTGCATTCCCACCACCACTGTGTAAGTGTTCTCCTTTTCCCACATCCTCCTCCTCATTGTGATTCTCTGTCCTTTGCGTTTTAGCCAGTATGTACGTGTGAGCTGATATCTCATTGTGGTTTGGATTTGCGTTTCCCTGATAGCTTGTGATGTTGAGCATTTTTTCCTATATTTGTTGGCCATCTGTGTATCTACGGGGAACTGTCTGTTGAGTTCCTTTGGCCATTTCATAACTGGATTGGTTGTGTTTTTATAGGTTTCTTTTTGAGTTGCAGGTGTATTCATGTTATTAATCCTTTTTGTATAGGTAGCTGACAAGTATCTTTTGCTCATTCTCTTGGATGTCTCTTCACTCTGTGATGATTTTCTTTGCTTTGCAAAGCTTTTAATTTCATTTGATCCCATTTGTTAGGTTTTGATTTTGCTGCCTTGGCTTTGAAGGTCTTGTCTAAGAGTCATCCCCTATTCCAGTGTCTTGGAGCTTTTCTTTCTATTTCCTTCAAAAAGCTTCATAGCCCCAGGTTATAGATTTAGGTCTCTCATCCATTTTGAGTTGATTTTCATATTTTGTGGTAGTCATGAATCTAATTCCAATCTTCTCTACAAATACATCCATTTTTTGCCAACAGCATTTGTTGAAGAGTTTTTCCTTACCCTAATGGATGGTCTGAGTAATTTTGTAAAAATCTGGTGTTGTACATATTTGCATTAATATTGGAGCTCACCTTGTTTTCTTCCATTGGTCAGTGTGTCACTTTTTATGCAAGTGCTTTGATATTTTGTTTAGTGTAGATTTGTAGAATACTTTGAATCCGGTATTGTGAGGCATCCGGGCTAACTTTGTTCCATTTTTTGCTCAGGAACACCTTATCTATTCTGGATCGTGTCTGATTTTGTATGAATTTTAGGTTTATTTCTGTAATTCTGTAAAGAACATCATTGGCATTTAGATGAAAATTTAATTGAATCTTTAGGTAGTGTTACGTAGAGATTTTAATTATATTGATTCTTCAAATCCACCAAAAGAGACATCTTTCCACTTTTGTGTCCTTGGTGATTTCTTTCATCAGTGTATGGTGATTTTCATTTAGAGCTCTTTGACTTCTTTGGTTAAATTTTTTCCTAAACTTTTTATTTATGTGGTTATTGTCCCTGGGATATTTGTTGATTTCTTTGTCAGTGAGTTCATCATTAATGTATAAAAATGTATAAAAACTGCTCCTTACACACTATGTTTATTTGTAACCTGAAAGTTCGCTGAATTGTTTCACTAGTTCTAGCAGTGTTTTTGGTGGAGTATTTTAGTTTTTTTCTGGTACTGTATCATGTTACCTGTAAGGATTTACAATTTCACTTTCTCTTTTATAATGTTGGTGCATTTCATTCTTTCTTCTCTTTTCTTTCACCTGTGAAAATTTACAGTATTGCATTCAATAAGAGTTTTGACATACTTGTGTTGTTACATGTTTGACAAAAATGCTTTCACATTTTACCCATCCAGCATGACATTGGCTGTTGATTTGTGATACATAGCCTTCAAGATTTTGATGCCTGTTCCTTTTATACCTACTTTGTGGAGTTTTTTTTTTTTTTATCATGAATGGGATTGAATCTTTTCAGGTTATTTCTCTATCTAATGAGATGATAATGGGGCTTTTTTAATAAAAATATTTATTTCATTTGTTTCTAAGAATTAAAGAGAGAGAAGGCCAGCGCTGTGGCTCACTTGCCAATCCTCCGCCTGCAGGGCCAGAATCCCATATGGGCACCATGTTCTAGTCCCAGCTGCTCCTCTTCCAGTCCAGCTCTCTGCCATGGCCCTGGAGGGCACTGGAGGATGGTGCAAGTGCTTGGACGCCTGCACCTGCATGGGAGACCAGGAGACAGCACCTGGCTCCTGGCTTTGCATCAGTGTAGTGCTGGCCATAGTGGCCATTTGGGAGGTGAACCAACAGAAGGAAAACCTTTGTCTCTGTCTCTCCCTCTCACTGTCTAACTCTGCCTGTCAAAAAAAAATCAATAAAATAAAAAAAGAATTAAAGAGAGAGAAAAAGAGCAAGTGCAGGTGAATGAGATTGAGAGAGTGAGAGAGTATGAGAGCGAGAGAGGTCTTGCATTTGCCAGTACACTTCCGGAATGACCATGATGGCCAAACTGAGCCAATATGAAGTCAGGATCCAGGACCTTCTTCTGGGTCTCCCATGTGGCTTCAGGGGCCCAAGGAATTGGGACATCCTCCACCACTTCCCCAGGCATGTTAGGATTAGAAGTGGAGCAGCCAGAACACACACTGGCACCGACATGGAAAGACAGCACTGAATGCCGTGGCTTTAACGCGGTGTAACACAGCACCAGCCCTGCTTGTCTGACTCCGGGCAGCAGCCCCGGCCACTGACCAGGCCAAGGATGCTGGGCAGATATCCTCCATTCAGTACCCTGACCATGGGTAGTTTGGCAGAGTGCTGCACCAACAGGAGTGGCTCTGTGTTATCTCGGAGGTCTAGAGAGCTCCCCACTGCCCTGAGCTCTTCTGATCGGCTGGATCTGGATTGATGATGTTCCTGGAGCTTTCCTGATCATTATGAGCACAGGGCCGCAGTGCCATTTTAGAGCTAAGGCTGCTTCCCCTGGTTCATCAAGGTAGCTCGGCCTCCACTGACACTGTGTTTCCTGGGAAGAAGGGGGAGGTGATAGTTGGATGGCACTTGCACATTTAAGCTAACAGGACAGAGATGCCCAGGGGCTGCCTCAAAGGAGATGCGATCCCGTGACTTCCCAGCAGCGTTCTCCCCCGAAATCCGCAGGTTCAGAGCAGCGGGGGTGGGCAGCGTCTCAGCCATGAGGAAGCCGAGAAGCGGATGTCTGCCTCCCCTCCTCCCTCCCAGAGGACCTGGATGTGAAACTAACCCAGAGTGGACGCTGAAGCTCAGCTGCCAAGTAATCTCCCATTCCCGGAGAGACTGCACAGCTTCCTGCTCAATGCCAGGTGGGGCTTCATCCTGGAGAGGAGCAACAGGTGAGCAGATGTGGCTGCCCCAGTGGTGACTGTAGCCTGGGTGCCCAAGGGGAAGGGAAGGGACAGCCTGTTCCCTGGAGTTGGGTGGCCCATGCAGACAGAGATGTGGACTTCATTCCCATGGCAGGGAGGGTCATGTGGGTAGCCCCACAGGCATGGGGAGAAATGTAGGGGCCTGGTGGGCTTCAATAGAGTGTGAGAGCATGGAAAGAGGGGTGGGTAGGATGTTGGGGAATGAGTTCCCCCAGGCTCTGCAGAGCATTAGGGACCAAAGAACATGGTAATAGGGGAATACTTGGGTATGCAGGAAATGGGAGGGAGACCTGGAGGACAAGTGTGTGCTGTTGAGTCAGAGTACAAAACCCAGGAAGTCTGGTTTGGAGAGATGTGCTAATAAAAGTTTGGGTTTAGATTCCAGGCCTAAGAATGATGGGATGGAGGTATTTAGCGTGGTGGTGATTGGATTGTTAGATGCCTGGGGCATGCAAGGTGTTGGGAGCTGAAATCTGGTAATTTCTGTATATTGCCACTCTGTGATATAGACAGGGAAATGGAAGGAGTGTATGGAGGAGGTCAGGTGACTTTCAGTAGAGTTGTAATAGGGAGGAGCTTGTAGGTCTACTAGTAGAACTGGTGGAGTCTCCAAGTGTTAGACCTGGGACAGGGCCTGAGCAACAACCGTAGGAAAAGTGAGGGTAAGAAAATGGTGAGGGGTATAGTGTTGTGGGGAGCAATTCGGACTATACTGTTACTGGAATTAAGATTTATTCTGTGGTCTTTCTTAGGGACTGTGGTATGGGTGCACGGTTAATTAGGAAACTTTGACAAAGGTCTCGGGAATACTAAGGACCTGGGCCATCTTTTTTTTTTTTTTTTTTTTGACAGGCAGAGTTAGATAGAGAGAGAGAGAGAGAGAGAGAGAGAGAGAGAAAGGTCTTCCTTTTCCATTGGTTCACCACCAAAGTGGCCGCTACAGCCTGTGTGTTGTGGCCAGCGTGCTGCACCAATCTGAAACCAGGAGCCAGGTGCTTCCTCCTGGTCTCCTATGTGGTTGCAGGGCCCAAGGACTTGGGCCAGCCTCCACTGCACTCCCGGGCCACAGCAGAGAACTGGACTGGAAGAGGAGCAACTGGGATTAGACCCGGTGCCCATATGGGATGCCAGCACCGCAGGAGGAGGATTCACCTCATGCACCATGGCACTGGCCACTAGTGTACTGTTTCGCCACATGCTTTCCAACATTTGTTGTTTGTTGATTTCTGTATGCAAACCATTCTAACTGTGGTGAGGTGAAACTTCATTGTGGTTTCGTTTTGCATTTCCCTAATGGCTAGTGATCCTGAGCACATGTGTCTGTTGGTCATTTGCATTTCCTTCCTTGAAGAATGCCTGTTCAAGTCTGTTTCCCATTCTTAACTGCATTGTTTGTTTTGTTGTTGTTGAGTTTCTTGAGCCCTTTATACATTCTGGATATTAACACTTTATCAGGTCATAGTTTGCATATATTTTCTCTCATTCTCTCAGTTGCCCTTCAGTTTGCTGAGTTTTCATTTACAGTACAAAAGCTTCTCAGCTTGATGTAATCCCATTAGTGTGTTTTTGCTTTTAGTGCCTGTACTTCTGGGTTCCAAGAAGTCTGCACATGGCAATGTCTTGCATCATTTCCACCATGTTCTCTAAGAATTTGATGGTATTAGGTTGTACATTTAGGTCTTTGATCCTTTTTTGAGTTGGTTTTTTTGTAAGAATAAGGTAGGTTTTTATTTTCATACTTCTGCATGGGAGATCCACCTTTTATGCACATTTTTTGAAGAGACTGACTTTGTCACATGGTTGGATTTTAGATCCCTTGTCCAAGATAAATTATTTGTAGATGTGTGGATTGAGTTTTGGAGTTTCTGTTGTGCTCCATTGGTCCACATGTGTATTCTTTACCAGTATCAGGCTGTTTTGTTTGTAACTGTCCTGCAGTATGTCTTGAATTCTGGTATTGTGATGCTTCTGGCTTTGTTTTTCACATATAAGATTCCATTAGCTATTCTGGTCTCTTGTGTTTCCATTTGAATTTTAGCATCTTTTTCCCCTAGATCTGTAAAGAATGTAATTGGCATTTTAATTGGGATCACATGAATTTGTAAATTGCTTTTGGTACTATGGACATTTTGATTATATTGATTATTTTAGTCCTTGAATATTAAAGCTTTTTCTATTTTCTGTGGCTTTTGTTTATTTCACTAATGTTTGCTAATTTTCATAGCAGACATCTTTGGCATTCTTGATTAAATTTATTCCATGGTATTTAATTTTTTGTAGCAATTGTGAATGGGATTAATCTTAGAAGTTCTTTCCCAGCCATGGCTTTTTACACATAGACTATTGATTTTTTGTGTTAATTTTATACCCTGGAACTTTACCAAAGTCTTATGAATTCCAGTATCTCTTAGTGGAGACTTTTATTTCCCCTATATATAGAATCCTGTCACCCGCAAGTAGGGGTAATTTGACTCCCTCCTTCCCAGTTTGTATCTTTTGATTTCTTTTTCTTGCCTAATAGGTCTGGCTAAAACTTCCAGGTCTATATTGAATAGCAAGGGCACAAGTTGTCATCCTTGTCTGATTCCAGCTCTTCACGGGGATGCTTCCAACATTTCCCCATTCATAAGCTGCTGTCTATAGGTTTGTCATAAATTGCCTTGATTATGTTGAGCAATGTTCTTACTATACTCAGTTTCCTTAAGGTTTTCATTATGAAAGGATGTTGTATTTCATCAAATGCTTTCTCTGCATCTATTGAAATAAGCCTATGGTTTATTTGAAAGTTTTATTTATTTATTTGTGAGGCAGAATTATAGGCAGAGTAGGAAAGACAGACTTTTTAATTGGTTGGCATACAGTCCTTTGTATTAGCTCCTGATGGGTAAATCTTTTAATCATCTGTGGTATCTGTTGTTACCTTTCATTTTTCATCTCTGACTTTACTGATTGGGGTCTTCTTTTTTTTAAGGATAGTTGGGCCAAGAGTGTATAAATTTTTTAAGCAAGTTCTTCATTTCACTCATTTTTATATTCTTTTTTTGATTTCAATTTTGTTTATTTCTTCTCTAATTTTAATTATCTCTTTCCTCTTGATAATTTTGCATTTGATTTCATTTTTTTTTCCAAGGGTGCTACATTGGTGGCTCACTTATTTGATGCTTTTCCAATTTCTTGATATAGGCACCAATTTCTCTAAACTTTCCAGTATCTGATAAGTTTTGATATGTTATACTGTCATCTTTGTTTGTTTTCATCTTTTTTAAATTTTTTCTATGACTCACAGTTCCTTCAGGAGCATGTTCAGTCTCCATGTGGTTGTATATGTTCTTGAGGTTCTTGGTGTGGTCATTTGCCCCTTCATTCCATGTGGTCATGGAAGATGCATGGTATGATTTACATATTTTTTGAATTAGCTGAGACTTATGGCCTACCTTATTGTATATCCTGGAGGGTGGCTCAAGGCCTTAGTTCCTGTCAAACCATGTGGGAGACGTGGATGAAGATCCCACTTCTCAGCTTTAGTCCCATCTTGAGGGCATTTGGGGAGTGACTCAGTAGACGAGAATTGTCTCTTGCTATCTCACTCATCATGAATTATTAAAAATTTTACCTCTCTTTTTACCTAGAAGCTTGATTTAAAGTATTCAAACTTGATGTATTTCATATATACAAATTTAGAAACATTAATTATTCCCACTATACCCTCGCTCACTCCTACCCACCCACCTGAACATGCTCCCATCCCTCTTCATTTTTTAAAGATTTATTTATGTATTTATTTGAAAGTCAGAGTTACACAGAGAGAGGAAAGGCATAGAGAGGTCTCCCATCCGATGGTTCACTCCTCAGTTGGCCACAATGGTCAGAGCTGTGCTGATCTGAGCCAGGAGCCAGGAGCTTCTTCTGCGTCTCCCACATGGGTGCAGGGGCCCAAGGACCTGGGCCATCCTCCACTGCTTTCCCAGGCCATAGCAGATAGCTGGATCGCAAGTGAAGAAGCCGGTCTCAAACTGGCGCACATATTTAATGCTGGTGCTCCAGGCCAGGGTGTTAACCCACTTTGCCACAGCACCGGCCCCATCTCCCATCCCTCTTCATCCTCTATCCACTATTGCCATTCTTATTTTATACAAAAATCTATTTTCAATTATTTTATACTCATAATATAAAGCCTACACTAAGTATTCAACAGTTTGAAAGAATTAAAAAAAATCTGTTCCTGAACAGGCAAGACATGGTTTGTTTAAAATCATTCTATCTGCAAGACAAAAGTTGTCTAAATCATTGTATGTCAAAGTATCAATATCACTAATATAGATCACCTTTTAGGTACTCTGTTACCACATTATCACAGATCAGGGAGAATATACGGTATTTGTCTTTTTTTGGAAAGGCTTATTTTACAAAGTGTAAGGTTTTACAGTTGCATCCATTTTTTTTTCTTTTTGCAAATGACAGGTTTTTTTCTTTTTTTTGTACCGGAAAACATTTCTTACCTGGAGCACACCGGAGATCAACACAGCCCCGCTATCCTAGCCCGGAGCCAAGACAGCTGTCACCCATGTTTTTGACGCTGCCTGGCCGCTTCCGGTGCTGCTGTGCTTACTGGGAGGAAGAGGCGGGTCCTAGATGCTGGCTCTTGCGCAATCAGCCTGGTGGAGAGCAAGACGAGATTATCTGGTGGTGGCGGCATGTCGTCGGCTGCTGGAATTGTTTGCTGATGGCGGCGTTTTTGGCAGCGGTACTGGCCCGGAGAGTGTGGGAGTGAAGGTGAGTTTTTCTTATGAAACAATGAGAGGCCTGGGACCTCGTGTGTGTGTGTGTGTGGGGGGTCGTGGCTCCTCGAAGCAGTGTAGACACTCATGTCCGCAGGCTGGGTGGCCGTGGGGGCGGGCGGCAGCTCAGCTGTGGGAAGTGGAGAAGCGGGTGGCTGGGCTCGCGCTGGAGGACAGGACTGCGGGTTACAAGGTATGTTTATTTGTAACCTGTAACTTACTTATTTCATCAGTCCTAGCAGTGTTTTTCGTGGGTGTTTTAGTTTTCATTGATTTTTATGATTGTTTTTAGGATGTCTCTATCTTCTGGATTTAATCTTATCAGTTACATGTATTTGTTATCCAGGGATTTCTCCATTTCTTCTAGTTTTCCAGTTTATTAGCATATAGTACTGAATAGCAATTTCTCTGAAACCTTGTGTTTCAGTGATGTTGATTATAATCTCTGCTTTTTTTCTGTAATTTTATTTACTGGAGTTTTTATCATTTTTGTTAGTCTGGTTAGAAGATTATCTGCTTTTTAAAATTTTATATCATGTATGCAAATTTCATGTATTTCATATATGCAAATTCAAAACATACTGATACCTCTTCCCATGCTACCATCTCTCAAGCCTACACTCCCATCCTTCTTCTTCCTCCTTCTCTTGTTCCCACTCTTAATTCTTCATCAGTTAATGGTAGGGTGGGCAAGTTCCACGTGAGCTGCGTAGTGATCTTTTTTCAAAAAAATATATATTCTTAAGTGGCAGAGATGCAGAGATAGGGAAACACAGAGATAGAGGTCTTCCATCTGCTGGTTTGCTCCTGAAATGGCCACAGGGCCCATTCCTGGGCTGATGCAAAGCTAGGAGTCAGGAGCTTCTTCCAGGTCTCCCATTTGGAGACTGCATTTGGTAAGAGTGGTAAAAGAGGCATCCTTGTGTTGTTATATGTTTGACAAAATGATTTCACATTCTCCCCATCCAGCATGACATTGGTGGTTGGTTTGTCATACATAGCCTTTATGATTGTGATATGTATTCCTTTTGTGTATATTTTGTGTAGTTTTTTAATCATTTTTTATTCTTCTGATATCTGTATGTAATTAGAAGATGTGGTTTTCAAAAGATTTATTTCATTTGTTTGCAAGATTTATACAGAGAGATAGAGGTAGAGCAAGAGCAAAAGAGAGGGAGGGAGGGAGAGAGGTCTTCTGTTTGCTAGTTCATTCCCCAAAAGACCTTGAAGGCCAAACTGAGCCATCAGGATCCAGAACCTTGTTCCAAGTCTCCCATGTGGCTGCATGGCCCCAACTAATTGGGACATCCTGTGACATTTTCCCAGGCATGTTAGGAGGGAGCAGGATTGAAAGTGGAGCAGCCTGGATGCTAAATAGCACCCATATGAGATGCCGGCGTTGTGTGTTGTGGTTTTAACCCACTGTAACACAGCACCAGCCCAGACAATGTGGTTTTATTCTTCCATTATTTTGATAAAATTCATCATGTGTATTAATTTGCGAATGTGGAACATCATGGCATTTCTGATATAAATTCCAATTGAAGGTTTTGTGTGAGCTTCAGCATGTGGTTTTGGTTTTGTTAGGCTAGAATTTTGTTGAGAATCTTTTCATCTTTTTCATTATGTATATAGGCCTTCAGTTTTCTTTGTATTTCATGTTTTGTTATCTTTTGTGGTTAAAGTAATGCCGGCCTCTCAAAAAGTGTTTGTTAGAGTCGAATCCTACTCCTTCCAGTTTATTATTTTGAAATAGTTGGAAAAGTATTGGAGTTGCTTTTTAAATCTTCAAGCTCCTTGGTTACCTTTATTCAAAGGTATTTAAATTTTAGTAGCTATTGTGAATGGAATGGATCTTCAAAGTTGTTTCTCAGCCCTGATATTGTGTGTATACAAATTCTATTGATTTTTGTGTGTTAATTTTCTATCCTGCCACTTTTCCAAACTCTGTTATGAGTTCTAATGGTCTCGTGGTGGAGTCTCTGGGTTCCCCCATTTATAAAATCATGTCCTTTTGAAAGAGGGATAGTTTGACTTCCTCCTTCCCAATTTGTATCCATTTGATTTCTTTTTCTTGCCTAATGGCTCTAAAACTTCCAGAACTATATTGAATAGCAGTAATGAGAGTGCATCCTTGTCTGATCCAGATCATAGTTGGGAATGCTTCCAACTTGTCCCCATTCATAACATGCTATCAGTCGGTTTGACATAAATTGCCTTGATTGTGTAGAGGAATGTTCTTTCTGTCATCAGTTTCCCTGAGGTTTTCTTTCTGAAAGGTTTTTGCATATTTTCCAGCTGTTTTCATCTATTGAAATAATTATGTTTTTAAAATATTTATTTAATTGAAAGGCAGATTTATGGAGTGAGGGAGAGAGATTTCCCAAGAATGTCCAATTCATTGGCAAACAGTACATTGTAGCAATTCCAGATGGTTGTTTTTATTTATTGGGTTGCTATTATTACAGATTGTTTTTCATTTCTGGTTTTACAGATTGGGGTCTTATTCCTATTGTTGTTGTTTTGGAGATTTTCAGCAATTTTCTAAAAAAATATTTTTTAACCAGATTTTCATATCAGTGATCTTTTTTTTTGGACAGGCAAATTTAGACAGTGAGAGAGAGAGACAGAAAGTCTTTCTTTTCATTGGTTCACTCTCTAAATGTCTGCTATGACTGGTACACTGCGCCGATCTGAAGCCAGGAGCCAGGTGCTTCCTCCAGATCACCCATGAAGGTGTAGGGCCCAAGCACTTGGGCCATCCTACACTGCACTCCCGGGCCACAGGAAAGAGCTGGACAGGAAGAGGTGCAACCGGGACAGAATCTGGCACCCCGACCATGACTAGAATCCAGTGTGCCGGTGCCGCAAGTGGAGGATTAGCCTATTGAGCCATGGCGCTGGCCTCAATGATCTTTTATAATGTTTTTCTTCAGCTTTGTTCATTTCTTCTCAAATTTCCATGATTTCTGTCATCCTACTAATTTGGAGTTTGATACGTTGTTTTTCTATATTTTGTGATGCAATGAAAAGCTCATTTATTTGATTCCTTTCCAATATCTTGTTGTAGTTACAAGTTGTTATAAAGTTTCCTGTTAACATTGCATTTGCTGTGTCCCATACATTTTGCTATGTTGTACTGTTGTTATCTTCAATCATTTCCAGAAATTTCTGGATTTTCATTTTGATTTCTCCTAAGACCAGCCATTCATTCAGGAGCATGTTGCTTGGAATCCATGTGTTTGCGTATGTTCTGGAGTTTCCTGAGTTGTTGATTTCCCGTTTCCTTTCATTTTGATCATAGAAGATGCATGAACTGATTTCAGTTACTGAGTTTTCTAGGCTTGCTTTATGTCCTATCATAAGTTGTGTCCTAGAGAAAGTTCCAGGGACTGATGAGAAGAATGTGTATTCTGCAAGTTGTGGGATGAAATGTTCTGAGTTAGGACTTCCAGCAAGGCAGTCTATTCCCAGGGACACAGTGATGAGTGACTATGTCACCTACAATTTTGACATAGGGGAGGGGCTAGGAAACGACCAAGAGAAGACAGTTCAGGTGTTCTTGTAAGATGCTTTTTTTTTAGTTAAGAGATCCAAACTCCATGCATTTCATAAATGCAATTCAGGTACACAGTGATAGTCCCGACCCTACCTCCCTGTCAGGAGCACAACACGTCGTGCACTTGGTTGTCTGACTCCAGGCAGCAGCCCTGGCACCGACCAGGCCAAGGATGCTGGGCAGGTACCTGCTGTTCAGTAGCCCTGACTATGGGCAGTTTGGCAGAGCTGTGCACCATGTGGGAGTGGCTGGGTGTTAGCCCGGGAGGTGTAGAGAGCTCCACACTGCCCTGAGCTTCTGGTGGGCTGGATTGGGAGCAACGATGCCCTTGGAGTGCTCCTGATCATGGTGAGCACATGAAAGGCATGTCAGGCTGGGGCTCAGGCCGTGGCCCCTGTTTCTTCAAGGCAGTGCGTCCTGTTCTGCTGACGCTTTGTTTCTGGGAGGAAGGGATGGGTGTTAGTTGGGTGATACTTGCACAGTAGGCCTAGGGGAGAAGTAGGCTGTATCCAAGGCAGTGTCGTTGCTGGCTGGCATTGGCTGTAGCGGTTCAGTAGGCTTGTAGAGTGCAGGATGGACTTGTTGTGTTTAAGTTTATGAACATAGAGATGCCCAGGGCCTGCCTCAAAGGATGGGGGATCCCAGTGCTTCCCAGCAGTATTTTCCCTGCAAATCCACTGGTTCAGAGGCAGCGGGGCTGGGCAGGAGCTCAGGTGTGAAGAAGCCATGATGCAGCTGTCTGCCTCGCCTCCCCCCCTAAGAAGGACTCCGATGTGAAACTAACACAGAGTGGACACTGACCCTCAGCTGCCAGGCAATCTTGCTCTTCTGGAGACTCTCCACTTCCTGTCATCAGTTCATGGACATCAGTTTTTATTCCGTATCTCAGCTATTGTGAACTGAGCTGCAGTAAACCTGGAGGTACAGATAACCTTTTAAAATCTGCTGATTTCATTTCCTAGGGGTAAATCACTAGGAGAAGGATTGCTGAGTCATATGGTAGATTTATTTTCAGCTTTCTGAGGTATCTCCATACTGTGTTAGGCAGTGGCTTCCCCAGGTTACATTTCTACCAACAGTGTATTAGGGTATCATAGTGCCAGATCCTCAGCAGCATTTATAGTTTGTTGATTTTAGTATGAGAGCCATTCTGACTGTGGTGTGGTGAAACCTGATGGCTAGCAATCCTGAGCCTTTTTGCATGTGTCTGTTGGCCATATGAAGTTCCTCTCTTGAAACATGCCTGTTCAAGTCCTTTGCCTATTTTTAAATGGAATTTTTGTTTTGTTGTTGTTGAGTTCCTTGAACTCTTTGTGGCTATTAATCTTTTATAAGTTTTATAGTTGGCAGATTATTTTCTCTTATTCATTTGGTTGCCTCTTGACTTTGCTCTTTAAGATTCTGGATATTAATCTTTATTTTTTGACAGGCAGAGTTAGACAGTGAGAGAGCGGGAAACAGAGAGAAATGTCTTCCTTTTTCCATTGGTTCACCCCCAATTGGCTGCTGCGGCTGACACACCGCGCTGCTCCAAAGCCAGGAGCCAGGTGCTTCTCCTGGTCTCCCATGCGGGTGCAGGGCTCAAGGACTTGGGTCATCCTCCGTTGCACTCCTGGCCACAGCAGAGGGCTGAACTGGAATAGGAGCAACAGGGACAGAATCTGGCGCCCTGACCGGGACTAGAACCCAGACTGCTAGCGTTGCAGGTGGAGGATTAGCCTATTGAGCGGCAGCGCTGGCCTGGATATTAATCTTTTATCAGTTTCATAGTTAGCAAATAGTTTCTCCCGTCCATTTGGTTGCCTCTTTACTGTGCTGAGTGTTCCTTTTGTAGTGCAGAAGCTTCTCAGCTTGATGGAATCACATTTGTTTGTTTCAGCTTTTATTGTGCTACTGGCATTTTTTCCCAGAAATCTTTCTTTAAGCCAATGTTTTCCAGTATTCCCCAATGTTCTCTAATAATATGATGATATGGAGTTTTAGATTTTGTTCCTTGACGTGTTTAGTTGCTTTTTGTATAAGGTGTAAAGTATGGGTCTTCTCTCATACTTCTGCATGTGGAGGTCCAATTTTCTCAGGACCTTTTTATAAAGAAATGGTCCTTTGAACCTGGGATTGATCTTTAGCTCCTTCTTGAAAGATAGATTAGTTGTAGATGTGTGCGTTATTTCAGGTGTTTCTTTTCTGTTCCATTGTTATATTTTCTGTTCTATTCTTTTCTGTTCCATTGTTGTCATTTTTTTTTTGCCTATAGCAAGCTGTTTTGATTGTAACTGTCCTGTGCTGTGTCTTGCAATCTGTTATTGTGATGCTTCAAGCTTTGTCAATGTTGTATAAGGTTTCCTTCTCTATTCAGATGTTCTGTGTTTTCATATGAATTTTATCATTGTTATCTCTCCATCTGGGCAAAATGCTATTTGACCTTTGCTAAGGATCCCATTGTGTCTGTAAATTGCTTATGGTAGAGTGGATATTTGCATTATGTTGATTTTGCCAATGAGTCAACGTGGAAGATTTTTCCATTTTTGTGTGTCGTCTTCCATTTCTTAATGTTTTGTAACTTTATTTGTAGACATTTTCATGGATATGAAATTGGACACCGAGTTGACATGGAAGTTCAGCTGCTGGGTAATCTTCCATTTCTGGGGACTGCTTTGCTTCCTGGTAAAACCCAGCTGTGCCTTCACCCTGGACAGGAGCAACTGGTTAGTAGTACATGTGGCTGTGTCCTGTTGATGGCAGCCCTTGGGCGCAAAGAGGAGAGAGGGGAAGGGAAGGGATGGCAACCCTGTGCCCTGGGGTTGGGCTGCCAGGATGACAGCAAAGTGGACTTCCAACCTTTGTGAAGGAAGGTCAAGTGGTGGGAGCCCTATATACATGTGGAGACAGAAATGTGGGGACCTAGCGTTCCTAGAATAGAGGAACCACAGAGACAGAGTTGAATAAGATATTGGGGAATGATTTCCCTGGGGCTTTGCCGAGAATTGAGGGGCAAAGAACATGCTAAGAAGGGAAGAATGGTTGTCCAGGCAGTGGGAGGGGAATCTGGGAGGAAAACTGTCAAATGTTTAATCAGAGGAAAAACATAAGAGTCGGGTTTGGAGAGATGTGGTAATAGTTGTTTGGGTTTTAGATTTTCAGATTAAGGATGATGGGATTGCAAGTACTTCATGCAGTGGGAGTGGAGGGTTAGATGCCATGGAAGAACCTGGGGCGTGCAAGGTTTTGGGAGCTGAAAACAGTTTGTGTCTGTATGTCACCATCCTATGATAGAAAAGGAAAATGGAAGGATTGTGGGGAGGAAGGCAGGCAACTTTGAGGAGAGTTGTAATAGGGAGGAGCTGTAATAGGTCTGCCTGTAAGAACTAGTGGAGTATCAGAGTGTGAGATCCAGGACAGGCCCTGGGGAGAAATCTTACGAAAAGTGAGGGAACGGATATCAGGAGGCAGGCAGAGGGAACTTTCAGGAGGGACTGGGGAATGGGTGCTGAGTTAATCAGGAAATTTGACCAGAGTGTGCAGACTACCAAGAGATGGAGAAGATGTTATCTGAAAGAAAACTGGGTTGATAGGTGTCTTGGGAACAGGGAGAACCTGTTTTAGCCTATGAATGAAGTTTGTGGCTTGTGGAAGTCAGAATATGGGCAGAGGAGTTTCTCTAGGTAAATATATTTTTCTTGGCTTTCAAAGGAGTGTCTGCTGTGTGCCCACATTTGCTCTAGTTATTTAAGGTACTGCAGAGAGCATCATGAGGGTTCATGAAAAAGTCTGTGGAAAGAGGAATTTGTAAGTTTGTTTCATTGTGTGTGTGTGTGTACAGAGAGAGAGATAGAGAATTATTCTTATCAATTCAACTGATGATGTTTGAAGTCCTTGAGAATTTCTTGTTTTCCCTGCCGTGAAGCATACTGCAATAAATATTGTGGTGAACGTATCTCTCTGATATAATACGTTCATGTATTTTGGGTTATATCAGTAGAGGAATTGTTCCATCATATGACAAGTCTGTTTTTATTTTCTTAAGAAATCTTTATATCGTTTTCCACAGTAGTTGCACTAATTTAAATTTTTACCACCAGTGTGTAAGTGTTCCCCTTTTCCCACATCCTCCTCCTCATTGTGACTCTCTGTCCTTTCGGTTTTAGCCAGTATATACGTGTGAGCTGATATCTCATTGTGGTTTGGACTTGCATTTCCCTGATAGCTTGTGATGTTGAGCATTTTTTCCTATATTTGTTGGCCATCTGTGTATCTATGGGGAACTGTCTGTTGCGTTCCTTTGGCCATTTCATAACCTGATTGGTGGTTTTTTTGCTGTTTTTTTTTAAGTTGCAAATATATTCTTTTCTTTCTTTCTTTCTTTTTTTTAAACTTTTATTTAGTAAATATAAATTTCCAAAGTACAGTTTATGGATTACAATGGCTTCCCCCCCATAACTTCCCTCTCACTCGCACCTCTCCCATCTCCAGCTCCCTCTCCCATTCCATTCACATCAAGATTTATTTTCAATTATCTTTATATACAGAAGATCAATTTAGTATATATTGAGTAAATATTTCATCAGTTTGCACCTGCACAGAAACACAAAGTGTAAAATACTGTTTCAGTACTAGTTATAGCATTACTTCACATAGGACAACACCTTAAGGACAGATCCCACATGAAGAGTAAGGACACAGTGACTCCTGTTGTTGACTTAACAATTTGGCACTCTTGTTTATGGCATCAATAATCTGCCTAGGCTCTAGTCATGAGTTGCCGAGGCTGTGGAAGCCTTTTGTGTTCGCCAACTTCGATCTTATTCCGACAGGGTCATAGTCAAAGTGGAAGTTCTCTCCTCCCTTCAGAGAAAGGTACCTCCTTCTTTCATGGCCCCGTTCCTTCCACTGGGATCTCACTCGCAGAGATCTTCCACTTAGGTCTTCTTTTTTTTTTTTTTTTCTTTCCCCAGAGTGTCTTGGCCTTCCATGCCTAAAATACTCTCATGGGGTCTTCAGCCAGATCTGACTGCCTTAAGAGCTGATTCTGACGCCAGAGTGCCATTTAGGACATCTGCCATTTTATGAGTCTGCTGTGTATCCCGCTTCCCATGTTGGATCGTTCTCTCCCTTTTTTATTCTATCAGTTAGTATTAGCAGACACTAATCTTGTTTTTGTGATCCCTGTGATTCTTGGACCTATCAGTGTGATCAGTTGTGAACTGAAATTGATCACTTGGACTAGTGAGATGGCATTGGTACATGCAGTCTTGATGGGATTGAATTGGAATCCTCTGGCAGGTTTCTAACTCCACCATTTGGGGCAAGTTCAAATGAGCATATTTCAAAATGTACATCTACTCCCTCTCTTATTCCCACTCTTATATTTAACAGGGAGCACTTTTCAGTTAAAATTTAAACACCTAAGAATAACTGTGTGTTAATTACAGAGTTCAACCCAATAGTACTAGAACAAAAAGTACTAAAAGGGATAAAGTATTAAATTGTACATCAACAGTGATGACAAGGGCTGATCAAGTCACTGTTTCTCATAGTGTCCATTTCACTTCAACAAGTTTCCCCTTTGGTGCTCAGTTAGTTGTCACTGATCAGGGAGAACATATATTTGTCCCTTTGGGACTGGATTAATTCACTCAGCATGGTGTTTTCCAGATTCCTCCACTTTGTTGCAAATGACCTGATTTCATTATTTTTGACTGCTGTATAGTATTCTATAGAGTGCATTTACCATGATTTCTTTATCCAGTCTACTGTTGATGGGCATTTGAGTGATTCCAGGTCTTAGCTATTGTGAATTGAGCTGAAATAAACATTAATGTGCAGACAGCTTGTTTGTTTGCCAATTTCATTTCCTTTGGGTAAATTCCAAGGAGTGGGATGGCTGGGTTGTATGGTAGGGTTATGTTCAGGTTTCTGTTGAATCTCCAGACTGACTTCCATAGTGGCTTTACCAGTCTACATTCTCACCAACAGTGGGTTAGTGTCCCTTTTCCCCGCATCCTCACCAGCATCTGTTGTTGGTAGATTTCTGAATGTGAGCCATTCTAACTGGGGTGAGGTGAAACTGCTTGTGATCTTGAATATTTTTTCATGTGTCTGTTGGCCATTTGGATTTCCTCTTTTGAAAAATGTCTGTTGAGGTCCTTGGCCCATCTCTTAAGTGGGTTGTTTGTTTTGATGTTTTGTAGTTTCTTGATTCCTTTGTAGATTCTGGTTATCAACCCTTTATCTGTTGCATAGTTTGCAAATATTTTCCCATTCTGTCCATTGCCTCTTCACTTTCCTTACTGTTTCTTTTGCAGTACAGAAACTTCTCAATTTGATGCAATCACAATAGTTGATTTTGGCTTTGACTGCCTGTGCTTCCGGGGTCTTTTCCAAGAAGTCTTTGCTGGTACTTATATCTTGCAGGGTTTCTCCAATGTTCTCTAAGAATTTGATGGTGTCAGGTCATAGATTTAATTCTTTAATCCATGTTGATTGAATTTTTGTTTAAGGTGAAAGGTAGGGGTCTTGCTTCATGATTCTGCATGTGGAAATCCAATTTTCCCAGCACCATCTATTGAATAGACTGTCCTTACTCCAGGGATTGGTTTTGGATCCTTGATCAAATATGAGTTGGCTATAGATGTTTGGGTTGATTTCTGGTGTTTCTGCTCTGTTCTGTTGGTCTATCCATTGATTTCTGTCCTTGTACCATGCTGTTTTGATAACAACTGCCCTGTAGTATGTCCTGAAATCTGGTATTGTGTTGCTTCCTTTGTTTTTGTTGTACAAGATGCCTTTAGCTATTCAAGGTCTCCTGTGTCTCCATATGAATTTCAGCATCCTTTTTTTCCAGATCTGAGAAGAATGTCAGTGGTATTTTGTTTGGTATTGCATTTAATCTATAAATTGCTTTTGGGAGAATGGACATTTTGAAGATATTGATGCTTCCCATCCATGGGCATGGAAGATTTTTCCATTTTGTGGTATCCTCTTCTATTTCTTTCTTTAAGGTTTTGTAATTTTCATCGTAGAGATCTTTAACATCCTTGGTTAAGTTTATTCCAAGGTATTTGATTGTTTTTGTGGCTATTGTGAACGGGATTGATCTTAGCAGTTCTTTCTCAGCTGTGGCATTGCCTGTGCATACAAAGGCTGTTGATTTTTGTGCATTGATTTTATATCCTGCTACTTTGCCAAATTCTTCTATGAGAACCAATAGTCTCTTAGTGGAGTTCTTTGGATCCCCTAAATAAAGAATCATATCATCTGCAAAGAGGGATAGTTTGAGTTCTTCCTTCCCCATTCGTATCCCTTTAATTTCTTTTTCGTGCCTAATACCTCTGGCTAGAACTTCCAGAACTATATTGAATAGCAGTGGTGAGAGTGGGCATCCCTGTCTGGTCCCAGATCTCAGTGGAAGTGCTTCCAACTTTTCCCCATTCAATAGGATGCTGGCTGTGGGTTTTTCGTAAATTGCTTTGATTATATTGATGAATGTTCCTTCTATACCCGGTTTGCTTAGAGTTTTCATCATGAAAGGGTGTTGTATTTTATCAAATGCTTTCTCGGCGTATATTGAGATAATCATATGGTTTTTCTTCTGCAGTCTGTTAATGTGGTATATCACATTGATTGTTTTGTGGACATTGAACCATCCCTGCATACCAGGGATAAATCCCACTTGGTCTGGGTGGATGATCTTTCTCATGTGTTGTTG